TCAGCAGGAGATTACCGATGGGGAAGTTGACATTCCCAGCGACTGAAAAGGGTACTTTGGATTTTCCCTAAAGTTTTGATTTTTTCGATTTCGTTTCGTCTTTTTGTATCGAGGGTATCCCTTAGTATACTGTTCTTGATCATTCCTGAACAATCGCAGCTCGAAAGACCATTCCTTTTGGCTTGTTTGTTTGAAAGCTTGTGTTGAGGTTAATTAGATGGCGTGTTCTCATTCATGACTTGATATCGTTTCTGTTCGGGTTTCATAGCTTCTGTTTGAGTTCTTGTCTTAATCGATCCCTTTTTTCCAGAAAAAAAATCGTAATGGGAATGTCAATGAATGGATAAGTGGCCACACCACTTTCTCAGTCTTCTCTGCCTTAGTTTTGAGGTTAATGTCGTTGCTTAGTTCATAGATTAAGGCTGTGTTTCTTCTGGGATTATGGCCGTTAATGTTAAAGATCCTTCTGTTGAATCAATGTTCTTCATGAAAATGGTAACTTGTTTCCTCTGTTTGTTACAATTTCGTGAATAAGTTTTTGTATCCATGACTTGAGGCTGAGGGCCTTGCCGCGATGAATATATATAGATAGATAGACCTACGATCTGTTTCTCTGCTAAATGGCTGATACCCTAAACGGATACTCAGGGGTGTGGACACGGATCGCATACCCCAGTTTTTGCAAAATAACCCGAATGCCGTTTGAGGTGATATCCCTAATGTTTAGGGATTTTTAAAATGGAACTCCTTAAGCCTCGTTGGATCGCCCTTGCCTCGGGCAATGTTGGCTCTCACCCTCGTCCCCGTCGCACCTCTCTCCCCTTTCCTTAGGGCTAAATCACTCAAATATACCAAACGTGTCGCAGTAACTTCTCGGATACATCTAAAAAAATATAACCCATTAAATTTTCTTCAAAAATACCATATTATCCTTAATGAAACCGTGTAATTATAATTGCAACGTCGTAATTGATTCTAAATACAGTTGCAATTGATTCTAAATACAATTGCAATTGATTCTAAATGAGGTGGTAAAAAATACATCTAATTGTTTACAAGATTTTTAGTTGTTATACGATCGTAAATACTTCTTTTTTTAGTCGTATATTAGTTATATAACAGTCGTAATAAAGTCGTAAAAAATATGAAAAAAAGTTATTTCCGACTTTTTAAACCCAAAAGTGGTATAGAATTAAAAAAAAAATTATTTTTTTTTATTTTATTTTTTTGCGACACTTTTGGTATATTTGAGTAATTTTCCCTTTCCTTGGTGCGGACTCTCTTTTTTCTCCCCTTTTTTCCTCCCGACTTCGGGTATTTGCACAGGAGAATACTTTATTTAGTTAATAACCGAAGAATGTGTTGAATAACATGTATTTGTACACGAATCGAATTTGACATATATCCGAATGGGTATAATTTATGTAAAATCAAACTGAATAAAAAATTATAATTAAAACTACAATTTTTTTAAAGAAAATGATTTTTTTTTTGTTTTAACCGAATCAAACTCGAATAACCAAACATAGCGGCTAGATGTCCGAAGAAACTTGAACGAGAAAGAATAAAACCTTCTGATTTTTTCAATATGAAACTAGAATTTACGAGCCTTATTTGCGCCGTTGGATTTTTTTTTCCTTTCCAATTCTTATTGATGATTATTAGTAATTAATTAATAGGAGAATAGCCCGTGTAGATGGTAGATTTTTTTTTGGGCAAAAAACTTAAAAGTACATGTTTTTTTTTTGCTATTCTCCCTTAATTAATTAATGTCGGTTTTAGTTAATGTTGCTTCAAGAAAATCCTCGAGTTTCGCTTTCATCTTTGCTTAAAGTCCACGTTCAAAATTTGATAAAGAGTTCCACAAATATGAAAAAACGAATATGAGGGTCCACAAATATCAATTCAAGTAACGGGCTTCGATGATTATATGGGGATGCAGTAACGTAACAAGAGATTATGTAAATTGCTGAATATGAGATATTTCCAATTGCAAACCCTAAGTTTTGAGGGGAGAGACCCAATTATTACACAATCATATATTTTTTTATTTATTTTATTTTTTAGCTTATCCTTCAAGCCAAGAAACTCCCACCATTCTTCTCT